AGCGTCCGCGCACTCTGCCCCTGAGCATGGGAAACGGGAGAAGAACCTCGGTACCTGAGCGTTTGTCGGGGAGGCAAATAGGTCTAGAATCGGAAGACCGAATCTGTGGGATATTTCCCTGAAAATCCTCGGGTGCAGGCGCCACTGAGTGGTTCACCGTCGTCTTGCTGAGGAGATCCACTTGCGTGTTTGCCTTCCCTGATATGTAATCTGCCTTGATGGAGGCCAGATGTCACTCCGCCCAAGAACCCAGAAGAAGAGCCTCGGCCAGGAGGGCACGGGATCGAGTTCCCCCTTGCCGATTCACATGGACCTTGGCAGCAACGTTGTCCATGAGGACCAGTACGTGACGTTTCGCTACCGAGTTGCGGAAGTGTCGAAGGGCCAGGTGTATGGCTCTGAGCTCCAACCAGTTTATATTGTGTTGTAGGTCGGATCGGGACCAACAGCCTTGGGCCCACTGTGACTGTAGCTGCGCACCCCAACCATACAGACTGGCATCGGTCGTCAGAGTAATTCGGTCCGGCTCCTTGAAGGAGGACCCCCTGAGCATGGCCGATAAGAGCCATCACCTGAGGGAGCGCAACACTCTGAGTGGGATCCACACTTTCTGAATGGATGAGCTGAGGTTCCGTCTCTGGAAAGGGAGCAGAAACCACTGAAGTGTCCTGGAATGGAGCCTGGCCCAAGGCACGATGGCAATGGCCGATATCAATTTGCCCAGTAATTGGGAGAGACTTGCTAGTGTTGCCATGCCGCTCCCGCAGATTTGTAGAACCAACTGTCGTATGCTGTCCTGACATTCTTGGGATAGAAAAACCCAGCAGTCGACCGTGTCTATGATGGCCCCTAGGTGTAATAGCCTTGTTGTGGGGGACAAGTGACTCTTGGAAAAATTTACCAAAAACCCGTTGTTTTGAAGAAGGTGGATCACCCGTTTTAGATCCGCCAGAGCGGCTTGTCCTGATGATGACTGAATAAGAATGTCGTCCAGGTAACACTGGACTCTGACTGGCAACATCCAGAGGTGAGCTGCTAGCATCGCAAGGACCTTGGTAAAAACTCTTGGGGCCGAGGATAGACCGAAAGGTAACACCCTGTATTGATAGTGCCTGCCCCTGTAAGCAAACCTTAGAAACCGGTGGTGGCTGAGAGAGATGGGGATGTGAAGATAAGCTTCCGTGAGGTCTACGGACGTCAGGAAGTCTCCTCTTCTTACGCTTCCGAGAATTGACTGGAGTGTTTGCATCTTGAATTTGCGATAAACAAGATGCCGGTTTAGTCTTTTTAGATCTAGGATTGCTCTCCATCCCTCCGAGGCTTTGGGGACAATGAAGAGGATGGAGTAGAATCCCCGACCTCTCTGATCCAATGGTACCGGTTCTATGGCCCTTATGCTTACGAGGTGCTGAATGGCCTGTTGCATCAACCTTTTCTTTGTGAGATTTCTTGATTGGGGACAAGAGATAAAGTGATTCGGAGGGTAGGTGAGGAATTCTAGGGAGAGCCTGTAGTGAACATGTTCAGTACCCATGCGTCTGTGGCGGTGACCTCCCACTGGCTGGCAAAGAGAGAAAGTCTGCCACCTATGGGAGGGACCGCTGGAGTCATCTGGAACGACGGAAGAGCCGACCGTTCCCACGAAAGGGCTGTTTGCCCTGAAATTGTTGTCTGGGCTTAGAGCCCATTCTGTCTGATTGTCTGTCCTGTCTGAAAGGAAAGGAACGGGGCGGATAGGAATAACTGGGCCTGGTCCCTGTACGAAAGGATTGCCTCCGTGAGTATGGCATGTGTTGAATCTTTTTTCCGGACACTTAATAAGGTTATTGAGGACCTTACGCTTATCCTTATTCTCCATAAAGTGAGGATCTAAAGCTTCCCCAAAAAGCTTCTCCCCCCCCCGGTAAGGGGCTGCAGACAGGCGCCATTTGGACCTGGCGTCCGCATGCCAGTGTTTCAGCCAAAGCATACGTCCAGTAACATTGGAAGCCATTGCCCTGGATGAAAATCTGGCCTCCTGTAACGTTGCATCAGAAACATATTCCGTTGCCGCCACCATCTTGCTCAAATCCTGGTGGGTTCAGATATCTTCCACCGGAATTCTGGCCTGAAGCTGTCTGAGCCAGCAGAGAGCAGACCTATTAAAGAAAGAGGCTGATGTAGCTGCCCTAATAGCCCAAGCTGTAGCTTGGTGTGTCTTGTGAAAAGTTAGCTCCTTTTTACGGTCTTCTGCCTTTAGGGCATCAGACATGTCCCCAGGAGTGGCAGTGGGAAATACCGGGGTTCCCAAGGGTTTATCCACCTTGGGGACCTCCAGGGCATCTGCCATGTCCTGGGCCACGTTATAAAGTCTTTTCTCACTGCCACTCGGAATGGGGAGGGTACCCAGGGAAACATAGATGGACATGGTATGCGGTGTTGTGTGGTTACCGGTTCTGTGAAGTTTGGATCCACTTCCGAGTCCGGAGCAGCAGTTGATGTTGATGTGGAAGGCTCGGGACCATCCTCCTCATCTGACATCGGAATCCCCACTTCTGCATCATATTCACGAAAGGATGAACCCTCAGAGTAAGAAGACTGTGAAGGTGAATTAGGTGCCCCATATGCCTCCGTAGTTGGCTGGTGGATCGGTAGGGGGGAAACCGAGGTAGACCTAGGCACCTGAGATCCAGCCTGAAGGGCGCGTGCTACCGGCTGTGCAATCAATTTGTTTAGGCAGTTCTCCATGGGAAGAGGAACTGGCTCTGTTGGTCTGAGTCCAACCACAGTAGGAGTAAATGTGGCTTCCGGGGCCGACTGTTGAGCCTGCTGAGCCACAGGCTGCACGATGTGTTCCTGATGAGATTAATCTCCCGGTAGAGGGGTAGAGACAGTATCCCCTGTGGACCAGATCCCCAGAGGGGAAATGGAGGGTCCCAGTGGTAAATCAAATGAAGGAACTTCAGCCTGAGTGGCTTCAGTCCCGGCCTATCTTTGAGCTTTAGAGAATACCCTAATGCCTGGTGTCTCCTACTGGCCTGTTTTTCCTCCTTTTTTGATGTTTTGCCTGCAGACCTAGCCTTGGCTTTGGCCTTGGCTGAAATCTTTCCTGCCGCCTCTTGATTAGAAGACTTTTGTCGTTTAGAGGCTGATGAGAGTGGTGAAGCTCCCTTCTTGGAAGAGCCAGACTCCTCCATCCTCGTGGATTATCACAGAAGCATGATTGGGTACTCCTGATATCCAGAGGCAGCTGTTATTGTCTACTTGGATAATCACAGATGCACGATAGGGTATACCTGGTAAACAAGGACAGCTAATTTGTGGATAACACAGGTGCACGATAGGGTACACCTGGTATCCAAGGACAGCCAATTTGTGAATAACACAGGTGCACGATGGGGTACACCTGGTATCCAAGGACTGCTAATTTATGGCTAACACAGGTGCACGATGGGGTACACCTGGTATCCAAGAACTGCTAATTTATAGATAACACAGGTGCACAATAGGGTATACCTGGTATCCAAGGGCTACTAATTTGTGGATAACACAGGTGCATGAGAGGATTTATGGATAACACAAGTGCACAAAAGTGGATAACACAAGTGCACAAAAGTGTACACCTGGAATCTAATACTGCTATACAGGGAGAGTCAAGGACCTACTGTGTATGTAAATAATGTTAAGTGTAGATGAGGAGACACCAATTCAAATTCTGCCAGTAGGAGTAGTGTTATCAACTGAAAAACTGTTTTGGATAAGAGGATTAGTGCAGGCTCCAAACAAACAAACCAGGACTGGAAGATAGAGTATGAAGAGAACTGTTAGTTTTCAAAATGGCAGTTTCAAAATGGCAGCTGTTGTGAAAATGAAACTCACTGAGGCTATTAAAACAATAGAGAATGGTGCCCAGCATCCACAAAATGGCGGGCGCAATTCTGAAAGAGCTATTTGGCCACTACGATGTGGTCTGAACGTCCCTATAGATCCAGAGGACCTTCCCAACAAATCAATAAATAGCTTTGGCGGCATGGTCACAGCCTCCGAAAAAACAAACGGAGCTCGCCTGTGTCTTCGCCCTTTTAGCCGCCTAAAGGAGCCGCCAGCCAGCTGATTTAATGAAAAAAAACCCGGTTCGGAGCGGCGTGCGCTCAGCCGGTAACGAGGACTGCAGCTGGAAAAGAACGAGCCTTCAGACTGTTAGAACTGCAAAGGCAGCCCCGGAAATCAAGAAAACAGCATTTTAAAATGCTGGGAAGCCTTCCTGCTTCACTCTAATTCAATTGCGTCCTTGGGCCTACGCACCCAAAATGAAACGAAAATAATCCTCAGGGAAGCCTCCCTGACTGATTAGTACTTCCACTCCTCCCCTCCTGAATCGTAGCCTTGGAGCTGTGGTTGCCACCCCCAACCAGGGAAGAAAAGCAGAGCAAAATAGAGAAAAACAACTATTGATGTTTGTAAAGAATTAATAAAAGGTATTGAACTTAATAGAAAACCAACGAAGGTTAGGGAGGAATGGAAAAAAACAAAACCAAAAGCCAACCAAATGCAGAAAGAGAAGCTGAACTAAGCCTCACTTTAAAGCTAAGAGGGAAAGGGGGTTGGAAATAAACAGCAATCCGACCCCAGTGCTGAGCCCAGCACTGAGCAGAAAACTGTTTAAAGTCAAAGAAAGATGGAAAATCCACCAATGGAGACTATACCTGCCTAAGAGCCAAACTTGCACGTCTGTCAATGGGCAAGATCAAGTCAAGACTGGGATCTTCTAGCCCAGGAGAGGGGTGGCAACTTTGGCTGACTTGATCTGATTGGGCAGGAACACAGTCTAAACCCATTGGTGGATTCTCCATCTCCAGTGCTGGAGAAGAATATGAGGCAACTGAGTAGACTACAAAAAATAATTTTCAATTTTGATAAACTTTGGTTGAATAATAGATACTGATTTGAATCAAAATCAAAGTCATATACTCATGATCAACATATATTTCATTTTTTAATAGAAAGAAGAAATAATTTACCTTTCTTGCTTCTTTGATCATCTTTCTAATGGTTTCTTTTATTGTAAAGGGTTGTATTCGTGGTGGGTGGAAAAGAAGCTCAATATTTGTAACACCAGAAATTCCAGGCATTACGTAAGGCCAGCCCAAGTCAAGATTAGGTGCTTCCACATCTGATTCCATAGGCCAGTATGTTCCTGAGGAAGAGGCATCATCTACACTGTTGTCAATAGCATAAACTGTGTTTGGGGGGATTTTCTGAACAGTGTTTAATATATAATTAATCTCATTTTCTGCCAGGAACTCAGAACATCTTTCCTTAGCAAGAAATTCTTGGTAAGCCTCTGAACCACTTTCAATTAACACATCAATGGCAAGTCTGTAACATTCCTTGTAGTGTGGCTCAAGGTAGTTGTCGGATCTGCATTCATCCTGTAAAGATGACAGCAAAGATGAGGTTTCCATTTTTAGAGTTATTTTGGATCAAAGACTTCTTAAAACTCCATGCATACACTATGGAATATATCTAAAAGAAAAAGAGAAATTCAGAACGGTTAAAATTTGTGTAAGCAAATGCAAAGCAAATTCAATATTATTCAAACTAGAATGTATATTTCATGTAGGTTGGGATTTATCACTATTTTTAACAAATAAAAAGATATTTTATTAAGTATATTTTAAAGAGATTAGAAATTAAATTAGCTTGGCAAACACTAATGCAGAAAAAATATTTTCAGTACAATGACCAATCATATATTATGCAACAGCCTATTTGCATTTTTCAATATTTTTTAACATATGCATTTGGTACAGTAAACTCAGCAATCTAAATATCTATTTTTTTACTTACTTATTTATATCTTTCCTGTATTATTCTTGTAAATAACTCAGGGCAGCAAATACTTAATACACCTAAGTGCTTTAATCACTAGACCAAACTGGTTGTCATGTCAGACAAAGTATACACTCTCTCAATGGTGATTCAGAAATCTTATGTATTTATTTCTAGCTATCCAGTCCAAGTGGCTCTCACCCTAGGTACCAGTCTCTTAGATTAAGCTGAAGGAGCAGAAAGGTTAGCATTGGCTACAAAAAGCAGGTGTCAACTCTGAGATAGACTAGACAAGCACAATTCATGAGTACTATCACTAACTTTAGTACAGATTTTTAGTAACAGAATTTTGCAAGCTTGAAAGCATTTATCTCCTCACTTACTTATACTTTTCAGAAAACTAAGGAGGGTCCCTCTGATGTTCCCCACACCCACGTTCCTTCTGTGGGCTGAGATATCTTTTGCATGTCTAGGCTGCAGCTTTTCCTCCTGTCTCCCAAGGTCATTCTCATATCTCAATACAGCAGGTTTCTAAATGTATAGGCCATAAAAAGATTTGTTTAGCTTTGACTAAGCACCTAATAATTTATATTAAATGAACTATGGCTTACCTAAGTATATAGACCCAAACAATTATTGTTTAACAAATAATAATTATGCTAGCTATGGCTTTGCACTATGTCTGATTCCAACCAGTAGCCAATAGTAGTAGCACTGTTATTAGACACAGATGAGCTCTGAGTCAGGTCAACTTTAAATAATGATGCAGACTCAATGATTACCAAATAATGTACACTAAATACTTCTGAGTAACCTTGAGTCATGTCTTCCATTTCAAAAACAGACCTACATGTTGGTAGAGCTTAATTGATTGGTCATTAATAGAACAGAAAAGTCTCAAGCTTCCTTTTTTAGATAGCCCATTTGTTTCAGTGACACAATCCAAAGTCAAATCCTGTTTTAAAAGGGATTGTTACTGAAGTTCAGACAATTTTGAAGGATCTGACATATCCTGAGAATTTACTTTTCCTAACAAAGGTATCCTACATTTGTATCATGATCCTTGTGGGCTGTTCTTTGTTATAGAATCACATTTATGTTGTTGTTGTTGTTAATTGCGAAGTCGTATCCGACCCATCACGACCTCATGGACAACGTTCCTCCAGGTCTTCCTGTCCTCTACCATCTTCTGGAGTCCATTTAAGTTCACGCCTACTGCTTCAGTGACTCCATCCAGCCACCTCATTCTCTGTCATCCCCTTCTTCTATTGCTCTCAATCTTTCCCAGCATTAGGCCCTTCTCCAGTGAGTCCTTCCTTCTCATTAGGTGGCCAAAGTATTTGAGTTTTAACTTCAGGATCTGGCCTTCTAAAGAGCGGTCGGGGTTGATCTCTTCTAGGACTGACCAGTTTGAACGCCTTGCAGTCCAAGGGACTCGCAGGAGTCTTCTCCAGCACCATAGTTCAAAGGCTTCAATTCTTTGTCGCTCAACCTTTCTTATGGTCCAACTTTCACATCCATACATTGCAACTGGAAAAGCACATTGGACACCTTCCGACCTGAGGGGCTCATCTTCCAGCATCATATCTTTTTGCCTTTTGGTATTGTCCATAGGGTTTTCATAGCAACGATACTGGAGTGGTTTGCCATTTCCTTCTCCAGTGGATCACATTTTGTCAGAACTCTCTGCTATGACCTGTCTTGGGTGGCCCTGCACGGCATAACTCATAGCTTCATTGAATTACGCAAGCCCCTTCGCCACGACAAGGCAGTAATCCATGAAAGAGAATCACATTTATAAATAGATGAATTGCAATTATAGAAATGTTACCTGATGTCTGTAACTGCAGCAATACTTTAACACTGCCAAAAATCCTGTGATTATGAAAGAATGTGTCTGTATCATAAAGACAGTCAGTTTGAGCTTGACTCTTGGTGATTGTGTCCTGAGAAGTGGTCTGGGCCTGCCTTCTTCAAGAATGCTTTTTCAACTTAATAGACTAGTAGTCCTGAAATTTTTTGTGATTCCCTCACACAAGTATTAGACAGGCCTGATTTAGCTTAGCTTCCAAATCCATCTTGGAATTTCTATGTGGTTCCCTCATCCAAGTGTTAAACAAGCCTTCCAAGTCCAGACAGGTTCTGCTAGGTGTTGTAACTGGTTGCAAAAGTTTAACCTGGTAGCTTCTTGACATTACGTCTATTGAAATGTATATATGAAATTCCACCCATGCCTTTCCCTCTTCAAACTCTTTTCTTTCTGAAACCTTTTATATGGAAATATTATAAATATTATATCAGTATGTTCAAACCTGCACCCTCCAAATGTCTTTGGACTTCAACTCACAGATCCCAAATTCCTCAGCTAGCATGCTCCTCATAGATATTGTAGTCCCAAACTCGGAGAAAACTGGGCTTTAAAAAGCCATGCAACTTATCTCCAGTATACAGAATCTGAGTGCTCATCTTATTAGCTGATTTAATCCATTTTCTGCTTGCATACCCCATCAACCTATATCACTTCCATGACCAATTAAAAGACCAACCCTTGGGAATTACTCCTCTCCCTCACATTGGAAGAGACATTAAATCAGTAAGCTGTTAATAGGTTTAGACCCTTGGAAGCAACACCCCTTTAAAATCTACAGGTTTATTTTTAATCAAAATGTGTTCGTTATGAAAGAGTTCTATGACTGAAAAACAGTTTTGCTATTAAAAAAAAAACCCTAAAAGTATTTAGTCAAAGAATAAGTAACCTCACCAGGTATTTCAAATTTCAACTGGCCTCAGTCCAATCAGTTCATCCAAAAGCAAGGGATTATGGTAATATTTGACATCTGGATGGTGCTAGATCAAGGTGGTAATAAATATGGAGCTTCTGCATGCACAAGCTGGTTTGCTGGGTATTGGAAACTGCTATTTTCACTATATGTTTCCACGTAGGAAAATAATCTTAAGTGCAAAGTTTCCAAAAGATAATGCTTTGTTGAAAACAGATTTATCAAACACAGTTGTCTATTTGCAGACCTAAATTTTTATTATAGTAACTTCACTAACTTTGAATTTGAATTCCATAAATGATGGAATGTTCTATTTATCCTTGTCAAAACCAACAGCAGCATGACAAGTATATACTATTACTATTGCATCTCTACAATTGAAAGCAATACCTGTCATCTTTTATTTCAAACTAGCACAAAATATTATAAAAAGGAAACAGTGAATATTTGATAGCTTTGATAAACTATATTCCCAGTTAGAAAAGTCAATAAGAAATAAAAAAAAATCTTATTAATTAAATGTGTGTAAATAGTTACTGACAGAGCTGCATATTTATCTTTTAACAGATTCTCCAAAATTCAAATGTTGAATGACAAAAGTATTAAAGGTATACAAGTAAAAACATGAATTAACAGATTTCAGATAGTTTGTGCTAAATCTTTTAATTCATGTTTTTACTTGTATACACAATTAACAGTTCTTACCTTTTGTCCCTCAGTTTTTACATTCTGTTTCCACATTATTGATATTGTTATTTTATATTATTGTGATGTGGTGGTGGGGAAATTGTTCTACAGGGCAGGCAAGAGAAGGCATTTCTCTAAGGAACCATTATATGACACAACTTTAACGAGGAGACTCCCCTCACCACATGCAACTTTGTGGGATGAGCAGCGCTAACCAGAGAGAGGAAGTCCTATAAACAACCTATCTCTATGTCATGTAGGGCTTTGTAGGTGATAACCAACACTGTGAATTGTACCCAAAAGCCAATACAGCTCACAGAGTGGTGGTATTATATAGATGTATGAAAATGCCCCCATTACTACCTGCACCTTCTGGATGATTTTAACTACATCTTCTGGATGATTTTAAAAGGTAGCTGCAAAACACCAACTGGGAAGGGACTATGGAATGATTGACCACAAGTAAAGTGTCCCAAGATGGATTTGTGCAAAGATTCATCTGCCTATAAATGTCAAGCAGTAGGACCTCCAAATGGTACACCAGCTCCAAGCAGGCAAGGGCAGCCCCACCTACAATCACATGGGGAGAATCCCCTGATCCATATCCTTGGGGGGTATCAAAAACCCATAGCTACTTGATCTTACTAGAGTTAAGTCAACATCTGTTCTTTGTCATCCAGATTCCCGTTTAGACAATGGGAAAGAACCAAGATAGCATCAGGAGCAGAGATGTACAACTGTATACATTCCATAGTGATGGTATTTAACCCACTGCTGACAAATTACTCACCCAAGAGCTTCATTAACAAAAGTTGTAAGAATCGGAGACATTTGGCAAAGCAGGAACCTAATGCCAAAAAACACTGACAGAAAGTGGCCCAGTAGAAAGAGGAACCATTGCAGCACTGGGCTTTCCACTTCCAATCCCTTGAGCTAGTCCAGAGAAATACCTTGGTTGGCGGCACAGAGGTAACTGAGCAACTGAAGGCCAAATAATATGTACTTCCTCCACTCCTGTATCTACTATACATCATCAAAAAGGGCAACTAATGTAGTTTCAGTGGTACATCCTGGTCTGAAACCTGGGGTCCTGATTTCCTCCAAAGCTCCTTAAAGCTGCAACTAATTTTTTTCTCAACAATTTTCCCTAAAAAAGGAAGGTTAGAGACCAGACGGATATTGTCCCATTGTACTGTATTCAGCAATGATCTCTTAAAAAGAGATTGGATCAATTGTTTCTTACATACTTGTAATATATACTTCCCTTCATAAGCTGCATTAGAGGTTTGAACAATAAAATTGGCTTTAACTGATTTTCTTTAATGCTTGATTACCTTCTTTTATACAGTATGTTGAATGAAAATTTTTCGCATTCCATAACAGAATTGTCCTTTTCAAAAATCCTCAAAAATTTAATTTCAAGTAAACTATGAATAGTTTGATAAATTGGTTACAAACAGTCAATATTTGAATCTTAAATTAGGCTTTCAAATCTGGAGTTCAAAATCAAGATGTCAGCAATTATACATGGAAAACCCTAATATTTTGCCATTATCCAAGGTTTATCCATATTTTTGTAGTCAACATCTACTACCCTTAACTTAAAATCTCATTTTTTTAGCAAATATAATTTTGATTTCTTTAACAATCTTGTTCTAGCACACCCATGTTTAATATACTTTAAAATTAAGTTATTTCAAAGTATAAAACCCAATCAAGGTAATGAGTTTAAAATATGCTCTCCTATTGTCTCCCTACAAATCCTAAAAATATTCACTTTTCAGCTAACCATGGGTTGTGTCTGTCAAGCTAGAAGATATGATTTATCATTATGGGTAGATCCAAATTAAATTAATTTCAAATGATATGATAGCCAACAGGAATACTGAAATGTCAATTAACACAGTATAGATAGTCTTCGACTTACGACAATTGAACAATTGTCCAGGAGGATTCTACAATGGTTATAAGTGTGGAAAAACGGTCATAAATCACTTTTTTGAGTGCCGTTGTAACTTTAAACAATCACTAAATGAACTCTTGTAATTCA